GGCCCCATTCAAGGCCTATTAATAGACAGTATCAATCTCACAGGCAGTTTCATCACAAAATCATCTTATTGGTTTGCAAGTTTCCAAGCCTCAGGGCTTCATCATGCATCAACAGAGATGGACAACCCCAGCACTTGGGGACAAAGACAGAAAATGTCCCCTTTTGAAATAGAAGTTGGTAAGAATAAAAATGGATTGCCCAACCTCAAAAGTCTCCCCAATAAGGCTTTCCCTGAGGCAAAAAGGGAACTGCATTTGATTTGTTTTCAAGGCATATGTTTGGAGAAAGGGCACTTGCTCCAAGAGAGTGCTTAAATGATTTACTGCTTAGAACACAGTCTTTTGCTCATATGCTTGTGAAAATCAGAAGAAATTACTTATTTCACCATAGGAGATTAAATGACAGTTAATACTTATTGACAAGCAAGTCTTATGATAAAAAATTAAAATAAAATTAGAAGAAAATTAAATCTTTGTATCTTTTAAATTGAGGGGTTTTTCCCCTCTATGGTAGGGTTCTGAGAACACTTACCAATGAACTTGAACAGAGTCAAGTAAATGATTATGCCTTAGAAGTCCTCTATATTCACATATTGGCTGAAATTAAAGTATTTTAAAATTGGGGAATGGAACAGGAAGAGCAATAAAAATTATGATGTGCAAATCATGATTGTTTTACTTTTAAAATGGGATTTTAAAAATGTATAAGATAATCCATTTAATTAGAATTGGACAATAGTGAGGCATATCATTCTCTGTAACAACTAGGGTTTTAAGTAGAAAATATTTCACTAATTTTTTATTTCTCAAAGTGTTCAAGGATAAAATTTGGTGTTCTTTAATTTTTCACTCCAAGAGGCAAATATTAATAGTACTAATTAGTTTGGATGTTTTTATCTATTTTACTTCCCCATTACCTGTTCTAATGAACATGATATTATTAGGAGAAATTCCAGTGAATCATTATCTCTTGTATCCCTTTCCATACATACATTATGTTCTCCAAGAGGCCAGCCTCTTAGACCAACCAACCAACCAACCTGCCTAACAGTCTCAGCATAAATTTAAAAACTGGTTCTCAATCCCGTTCATTCACTCCTATTCTGACAGAGTTGTAGTCCTTTACAAATACTTAATTAGTTTTAGTTTTAATACAATATTAAACAAATTGGTGTTATAGTTCATTATATCTACTCATTCTTTTACCTGATAAAAAAAAGTATAATAAAGTATACATACAAAGTGTAAAAACAGATTAATACAAAGTATACATTTACATGCATCAGTCTCCATGTTGACAGTCATGATTTCTTTAGGAACTATTGCTGAGACTAGGATATTAAGAATACAATTATATTTAGTCTAATTTTTACTGCCTTAATACAGTTAATAACACACTAAAGATTAATTCTGAAGGGCTTTAATGGCCTAATTCTTACAGGTTATTGAATAACTTGAGTAAGTTTCTGATTGCTTGAGACCTCAGAAGTGACGGTCATATTGACATAGGATGCATTATCATTTTTTTCTTTCATTATAAATCAGTTTTAGTGGATACTCCTTTAGAAATTGGAACATTTTGAGTTTCCTGAAGAGCCTTGAGAGAGATATTCTCAAAATTAAGGAACCTAGATAAACAAAGTTAAAATATTTACCACAGTTTGGGTATACATTCATTTCATGTTCCCATTAATATGTAACTGCTACATTATTCTCATGAACAAAAGAAGTGAAATATTTACTATAATGAAATACTTCTGAAAATTTAGTCATTTGCCATTCTTATATCTTCTGAAGTACTATGCTTAGAAATACCATATCCTCAGTAGCCGATTTGTATACAGAGGGGAAACTTTGCTGGATATAATCATTATTTGCAAATGCCATATGACTTTCTGTTTGGGGACTATCAAATCCCTGGAATTGGAAATGTTCATGACTACCCCTGGATAAATTCAGCTGCTTGTTTTGGGTCCAGAACATAAAAAAAAAGGAAAAGAAAAAAGAAAAGGAAAAATGCAGCTGCCAACAGAACACCACCAAACCAATATAACAGACAGTCTGCTAGAAGAGGGTTGATCGGGCCTTTATATTACTGCACAATGGGACAACTATCTGAGTTGGAATGCTGAATCGTTGCAACTCCAAGACATCTGGATTTTTCTTAACCTTCTCACATTAGATACAATCTAAGAAATATTTCTATATTTGTTTCATGTGTAATTTGCAAATTTTGATGACTGAAATTGGAAAACTATTAGTAATTTCCTACTGGCTTTATAAATTGGTATTGGCCTGTCACTACTACCCGGATTTTTAAAAATGTAAATTTACTCACTAGACTAGAAGCTCCTTAAGGGCAAGGGCCACTTGTGTATTATTCATCTTTTGTGCCAAATCACCTAGAACCTAGTAGATATTCAATAAATGTCCATTGAGCCGAACTGACCTTGGCTGAGTAAAAGTGTGTCAGATACTCAGGAATGGCTAGATTGTAGGTTGGCTTGACACAAAATTAATTTTCAAACTAAAAATGAATTGAAGACACAATGCGTGAGAGAAAACAGGCTCTCCCTGTATTCCTACTCTTAGGAATGTGGGTGAACTAAGTTTCCTTTAAGCACAGTGCCTAAAGAGGCTGATATATCTGATAGTTTAATCTCTTTGAATTGGCTTCCCTGCATGACCTAAGGTTTAGAAACTGACCAGGATCCCACGTGTAGAGTGACACCCCTGATTAACCCCACGACCTGAGGCCTCAGACCCAGGGGAAGCAGGAGACATACATATTTAGTCCACATCACCAAGGCAACACAGTCAATGTACCTCAGTATAGTAGAAAAACAAGCATAGATGATTTTGAATATTTTAAAAGTGTTCCCTACACCCACCATAACAGTGGTTAGAAACAAAGATAAATTATTTCAGAAATCAGGCAATTAAAGGTTTTAACTTCTCTAATATGTGTGCTTTGTTTTTTATTGTTAACAGTCCATAGGTAATCTTAATCAATTAACATTATCTTAGTAGTATCAAAAATAAAGGTTCAAAGTTTGGTTTGGACATAAATGACCCAGATATTCTCTTTTTAAGAATATAAGGAGCTATAGGTCTCAAATAGGGTGCCTCATCCCCCAAATGGGGAGACATATGAATTTGAAACCAGTAAGTCAGCATACAATGAGACTACCTGAAAGATGATTTATAAATGTGTTACTGATGAGACTATTTACACTTTTATCTACCAGGAATAAACAATAAAGTATAATATGGTAAGTTGTAGAATATAACTGTCATAACAAAGGAAAATATTCTCCATAGAACTTAAAAAGGATATAGGAAGTAAAATATCAGGGCGCCTCTACAGGCTAGGAAAGAAAGGTTTTGAATCCAAAATGCTTTGGATAAGCATTCTAAATAATGATGAAGCAGGAAAATTTCTCTAAGCTTTACCCCAGCCCAGAAGAAATAGTCCCCCAAATTATCAACCTTACTTTTAATTTTATCCACGTTCACCAAGAAACTTAGTGTTTACTAATTGCTTACCCTAAGCAGACTTATCACTATAAATTAATACATTTACATTCTAACGTGGGAATCTCCAAGTCTTATAAGTTTCGTTAGGGAGAAATAGTTTCTCATTCTGAGGGTCAGACCCTGGATCTATAACTTTCACCTATGTTATATCTTGGGAGGCCCAGCTCTAACAGCCAGCCAAATGGTCTCTCTCTTTTTACTATCCACCCTCACCTTTCTCACCAACTTCTAACTGTAACACAGGTCACCACAATCTTGTAAATGTCTGTATCCATCTGAAAAATAAAATCACATGTCATATATTTGTAAACAACCAAATGAAGATGGCTGAGACACTAGAATAACAACAAGGTTATTAGGAAGAAAGGCCTATTATGACTATATAAATTCATAACTGCTCATTTAACTCCCCAAACAGCTTACTATTCTTACTGAAGTAGGTCCATGGCCTTCATACACCACTTATGATAGGAGATACACGTTCTTGGGGGAATACAGTGGGGACCCAAATCTGGAAGTTCTGGGCATCTGTGTAGTATGATTTTACCCAGCTTCAAGAGAGGGCACTAAATAAACTGAACCTGAACCTGATCAAGCCAATCTGTTGACAGGCTATACGGGGGTGTAAAAACAAGTTAAATTACTTTACAGTGATACAATCAACAAAATACAGAATGTGGGAGGAAACTCTATAAGACAAAACAACTAGATTTCTTAAATAATTAATTTAAAGGGGAAAAGAAGGAGGGAGAACTTATAGATTAAGAGACTTAAATAAATAACAACCAAATTCAATATATGGACCTTGTTTGGTACCTATTTCTAGCAAACCAACGGTTTAAGAAAAATAGAGACAATCAAGTCCTTTTGTCACATATTTGCACCCAGTCATTTGATCACATTAAGAAATAGTTAATTTTAGGTATGATAATGATATTGTGGTTATGATTTTTTTTAAAAACCACTTATCCTTTAAAGATACATATTAAAGTAATTATGGATGAAATGATATATCTGAGATTTGCTTCAAAATAATCGGGGAGTGGGGTGGGAAGGAGTGAGATATAGATGAAATAAGATTGGCCATGAATTGAAGCTGGGTGATGGATACACAAAAAGCCCATTCTTCCCATACTTTTGTAAATGTTTGGAATTTTCCATAATGAAAAATTCAAAAACAACAAACAAAAAGCACACACACAAGAGAAGGGGCCCTCGGGTAATGGGATAAAATTCCAAGTCTAGCTTCCAGCCCCATTAAGTAGTCAGATTCTCTAAGGGGGTCAGCCATATACTGGCAACTTCATTTACCAAGTCCTGCCCTTCCTCTTACATCATTAGCCTAACAAAGGACATTAAGTTGTCTGAGTTTGGTTACTTACCAGATACCTTATAATGTCCAAGTCTGTTAACCAATTTTAACTTGAGTTTAAGAAAAATTAAAATAATTTTTGAAGCTAACAGAATTTTAGCATCTGTTGAATTTATTCAGCATAACCACAGAGGTATTATCTTCATGCTGTCACACACAGACACAAACACAGATAGAGCACAATATCCATATTTAGCCCAAGTGCATTTCTTTTGAGGCTCATTTATATGTCTTCATATGCCACAGCCCATCATTTAAATAATGGATATTTTCAATGCCAATTCCTTTGTTGACTTTCTCACTGTAGAAGGAAAAAAAGCACATAAACATATTGTTATGCATTTTTATAGGCTTACGGTGAATATAATTTCAAGTGCATTGCTGTTTTGCAATTATTGAGCCACATGTAGGGAATTTATTTATATTACACTAACATTGTCTATATTAAACTACATTACTCTGCCACAGTTCATGTCTTAAAGTGATCCTAGTGATCTAATTAGTGGGTCTATAGAAACAGAGTGGTGATGTCACCATACCAGGAGAACATCAAAGTGTTACAATCAACCCTGAAACAAAATTAATAGGAATAATTTGGTAATCAAATGAGTTCCAAAGTTTTTCAATATATTGACTATATTTTGGCAATTTACCTTTAACATTTCCTTAATATTCTATACCACCAGGTCAAAATATAAGATAAATACTGTGTGGTGCTGAACTATGTCACTGCTTTAAAAACTAGCAGGAAAACATCTTTCCCTCCACCCAATTTAAATCATGCTAAATAAAAAATTCCTAAAATACCACATACATACATATAAAACAGCTGTGTTGGCACACGAGTTCTTTTCAGAGTGCTTAAGAAAGAATGCAATCCTGGAGACAAAATAGGTTTCAATGGCTTCCTAAAGTGTTAGGAAAAATCATAAATGAGTCTTCTGTGCTTAAATATTTGTAAGATGTGGTATGAACGAGAGTAAATTTCACCTGTAATTCTGATGCTGCCTGGTAGGTTACCCATATCTCAAAATCTAAGGGGCCTAACGTGAGACTTACATATCTTCTGCAGACATCTTCATGACTCCAACACACAGAGCATGCTGTTTCCCTTCTGCCATGATTGCCTGAAAACACACAGCTAAGAAAACTATTTATCTATCAAAATGCCTTTAAGAGGGGATGGCAAATAATAATGTTACTAGTTAAGCCACTTTGAACCCATCTTGTATCCTCGCCTAGACCATTAACTCCTTGAGGGCAGGGACCTAGCAGATTCTGTAGGCACATTGTAAATATGCAATAAATGCTAAATGAATGAATCTAATAATCATTCTTGATTTTTAAGTCAAATGTTAATACTATGACCCAGTGCCAACAAAACCAGAATCAGTCCTGAAAAAAAGGAGATAAAATTTCTTACACATGAATATTAAAAACTATGAAATATCAATTGTTCTAGTGTTTTAATCACTGAATGGTGGTTTCATGTAAAGGATACATTAAAACAATAATTATCTCCCCAATCTATCTTTAAGGACCCAATGTAAGTTTCAACCTTTCTAGAACAACCAGAATGTTCTTGGTTATCATTTGAAGCGTCTAGAATGTTCAACACTGCAGTACATATTTTAAAAAGTAAATGTTCAAGGGTACAAAGCACCTCTGTGCACTAGTTTTGTAACTTTCTAAAAGTCTATAATTATTTCAAAATAAAAATTATTTATAAGCCATTATGACCTCAATAAAATAATTTTTTTAAAAAAGTAAAGGCTGGGTACTGGGAAAATCTTCCATTTAAGGGAAACTCCAGAACTACAAACTTATAACACTTAGAAAAATCATAAACATAAAAAGGTAATCTGTCCTCACAGAATACTTTTCTCTACTGGTTTTCAATTCATTCATTCAATGTTCCACAAATATTTCAGCACCTATTATGTGACCAGTATCTATGTCAATACAAGCTGTTCCTAAGATATAAACATACAACTTATACTACCCCTTAGATGTAACTGCCACAACAGAGGACACCCTCCTTCTGAACACAGGACACATTCTTAAACCCACTCCAATGGCCTTCCCACTCGACAATGATTTCCCCATTCCCACCCAGTATGGTTCCTTTTCTCAACCTGAGGCAAATGGCCACCTTATGTATGACAAAGAAGATGTCCTTTTGTCCAGACTAGTTGACAATAACCCATTTTGTTTTTTTGGTGAGGAAGATTAGCCCTGAGCTAACATCTGTTGCCAATCGTCCTCTTTTTGCTGAGGAAGATTGGCTCTGGGCTAACATCCATGCCCATCTTCCTCTACTTTATATGTGCGATGCCTGCCACAGCATGGCTTGATGAGCGGTGAGCAGGTGTGCACCCAGGATCCGAACCTGTGAACCCCAGGCCGCCCAAGCAGAGTGTGCGAAGTTAACCACTACGCCACCGGGCCGGCCCCGACAATAACCTATTTAATCTAGAATATAGGTGAAACAGCACCACAGAAATGGAAATAATGCAGAATTATTCAGCTACATTATGAGTTGAATAGCTCCTTAAGGACTATTTGGGACTTGAACATTTCTCTTTGAGAAAACATGTTCTGAAGCCCAAACAACCAACTTAAAATGAACTTTAAAATAAAAGTTGGGGATTGCCAATATTTTCTACTACCCACGTCTACCACTCTATCTGGTGCCTAAGTTCTTTTCCCTTTTGAGTGCTTTTCCTCCAGTGTATCTGGGTAAGTCAAATGTCAAAGTAGCAAGCTGATATCCAAAGAAGTGATCCAATTACATCATATATATCCTCTCCATTAATCAAGAGTTTTATACTGTGTCCTGAGTCTAATAACATTGGGCCTATCTGGGCTGAAATGCAGCCGGGACTATTTTATTACTTGCTCTCATTTAACTTCTAAAATGGGACATAATCTAGTCTCAAGAAATAATGTTACTTCCCACATATTCAAATGTAACCAGAAAGGCATGAGACAACAGTAATCTCCAAAAAAGTACATCTGATGTTCTCTTGGATGATAGATCTTTCACTAATGACAAAAATACAATGAATACATTTTTCAACAGTTATAGCCTGGGAAGGATACAACAATCGTGTCTACTGCAGCAGGGTAAAGTTTAGCTCCAGGAGAAGTTAAGCCTGGACACATGATATTTGCTCCACTGAGTACAAATTTGATGGCTCCTTTATCAACCTGTTGGTGTGGCAGGATAAAAGGATCTAGAAGAAAAGAAAACATTACAAAAATTAATAAGACTAATGTCTCAACAGAAAAAGGCAAAGGACATGAACAAATATTTCCCCAAATTACAGTACTCTGACAGGTGCAAAATAAAACGGAAACACTATCTTTCACTTATCAAACTGGTAAATATTTTTAAATAATTTCCAATGCTAGCAAGAATGTAGGAAAATTGGCATTCCCATATACTTTTAGAAGGCTTACAAATGGGTACAACCTTTCTCTAGGACTACTTGGCAACATGTGTCAATAGCCTTGGAAAGGTTCAAACTCTTTGACTCAGTAATTCTACTTCTAGGACTTTATCCTAAGAAAAAATGAGAGATGTACAATATATTTAGGTAGATAGATATTCATTGAAGCACTAATATTTATATTAGAAATAAACTAGAATCAACCTAAATGTCCAACAGTAAAGTAAGAGATAAATGACTTGAGGTATGTCTATAATATCTATATAAATGGAACCATGGTTTTGGAGAAAACGTACCACACTGGGAAATGTTCATAATATAATGTTAAGTGAAAAAAGCAGAATAAAAAAACTACCAAAAAGATCATTGTTTGCTAGGGGTTGGGGGAGGAGGGAGAGAGGGGAGGGAAAAATAGGTGGAGCACAGAGGATTTTTAGGGCAGTGAAACTATTCCATAAGATACTGTAACAGTGGATACATGACATTATGCATTTGGCAAAACCTACAGAATGTATAACACAAAGAATGAACCCTAATGTAAACTATGCACTTTGGTTAATAACAATGTATTGATATTGGTTCACCAATTGTAACAAATGTATCACACCAATGCAAAATGTTAATAATAAAGGAAGGGAGCAGGAAGTATATAGGAACTCTGTACTCTCTGCTCAATTTTTCTGTAAACCTAAAAGTGCTCTAAAAAATAAAGTCTATTAGTTAAAAAAACTATGTAACAGAGAGCCCAATTTAAAAAGGAAAAATATATACATTTACACAAACACACACACACTACAAGGAAATTATTGGATGGAAGTACACTGATAAACTAACACTGGTTATCTCTAGGTCATGGGAATACAGGTGATTTTATTTCTGATTTTTCCAAATCTCTAGAATGAACACATATTCCTTTTGTAATCTTAAAAAATGTATTTTTCTGTGTGTATGTGTGTCTACAAATAATTCATAACCTAACAACTAAAGGATCCCTGAAGGATTTAAAACAATGACCGGGGGAAAAACTTTTTAGGCCTCTCAGGGCTCTCTAGGAATAAAAACAACAATAATTGGTAAAATTTATTCATTTTAATGTCTTACCACTAGCCCTCCCACTAGTCAGAGAAGAAGGAAGTCTTTTTCCTACCAAGACTACAAATTAATTTAAACATGGCTGCAAATTAATTTAAACATCTTACTGATAAAAAGAAACCTGAATGAATGAATGCATTTACTACTCACAAGCCATAATTTGTTTTCTAGATCTCCAGCCTCATTAATATCTGCCCTTCAATGATGATGATGATGATGATCCTGATCATGATGATAACGATAAAGAGTAGTCGTGGACATTTATCGAATAATTACTACTAACAGCATGATAATGGCTATCATATATTGAGCACTTTCTATGTCCCAAGCATTGTGTTAGCTGCATTACATGCACTATCTCATTTAATCCTCACAATCCTGGGAGATGTAATATACAATTAAGTCCATTTTTAAAGATAAGGAAACAAAGCTTAAACAGGTTAAGTGACTTGACAAAAGTGATATGCACTGAGAATTGAACTCAGGTCTGCCTAACTCCAAGTTCATGCTTTGAACCACCATATTATCCTGCTTCTTGCACAAGAATAACTTTAAGATGTTGTAAAAGCTTGTTTCCCAGCAAAATATTATTAAATAGAAACATATTTTCTTCCAATTATGAAAATGTTTAACATATAGAAAAACTGGAGGAATAGTTCAATGAACACCTGTACACCATCCACTTAGATTCAACAACTGTTCAGTAACACTTTGCTATATTTGCTTTATCTCTTTCTATTTATACACACACATTTTTTTCCTCTACCTTTTGAAATTTCAGAAATAATGCTTCACCATAAATAAGCACACATCACCTAAGAATAAAGTCATTCTCCTACAAAACCACAATACTATTATCATACCTAAAAATTTAACAGGAGTTCTACAAGGTCACATTGTAACCAAACCATATTCAAATTTCCCCCAATAGTCCCAAGAAAATCTTTTAGCTTTTTTGTGGGGGAAGAAGAGCTTGAATTTTGTGTTTTTCAAACCAGAATCCAATCTATATTCATGCAATACATTTGATTATTCTGTCTCTGTTCTCGTTTAGTTGAGTGGGAATTAATGTCATCAAAATGTCTTAATGTTACCAAAATATTTTCATTTTAAACATTTTCCCATTGCATCGGGACTCAATTTCTCTCCATTGTAGTTTTCTTAACCTGATAAAAGCAATACTGAATCATTAATATTATAATCATTATAATTATTCCTTTATAAAGTGCTTCACCTCTTTTAAGACTTGCCTAACAGCTTTACTGCTCCAGACCTCTGCTCCACCAGGTAATTCAAAATTTATCTCCTCTTACCAAACTCATTAGTTAAGTCATCAATACCACCTACAGAGCCCTCCAGTCACTCCCTTTCTGCCTCTTGGCTAGAATGCCAGATACACACTTGTTTGAAAAGCAGAAATTTTACTTCACAGTTAAAAACTTCTTGGGCACTGGCATTGTATCTTCCTTTGGATCTTCTTTTGTAATGTACTCAATCTACCAACATGCAAAGGTGTGTACTTAATAAACATTATTTTGTTTCATAACGCCTGACCTTGGCACTCAACTAACAATAACTCGGACTCCCACGATTAACCAAGGCTTTCCCTTATACAGAATTATCTCTATGAGGCAAATCTAGATACAAATTTAAAATAACATGCTCAAAGCACTTATCACAGTTTGGGAATATATATTTGTGTAATTATCTAATTGTTGTCTATTCTCCCAACTAGACTGTTAGCTTCATAGGGACAGGGACCAGGTCTGTCTTTGCTGCCCATCACATTCTGAGTACCTAGCTCAGTGCCTGGCACATAGAAGTTCAATAAATATTTGTTGAATGGATGAATGAATGTTCTTTCTTCGGCTTTCTGGAATACACAATGAGAATTTGCATTTTTCAGATTTACCACAAGATGGGGATTCATCTTAGTTTTATATTCCCTATTACCCAATACTAATAAATGCATTAACACCACCAGAAGTCACTTTCAACTCCTTTTGTGTCTTTCCATACCCCCAAATACATATTTTCTAACAAGACTTACATTTGTGAAGTAACCTTAGGGTTGGATAAAAAGGCCCTTCTCTTTGTCTAAAAAATAGTAACTCTCCATTTACTGTAAGGATTTCTATATGTTCATGGCTGTAAGACAAATGTCACAAAGTACCAAGTTAGATATTTTCTTTCAAAAATGAATATGCCAAACATCCTTTAAATAATGTATGATGTGAAACATGCATATACAGAGATAGAGTAAGCTTTTTTTTTAAATTTCAATAAAGATCCAGGTGAAAAAATATTGTTTAAATTGTTTTTATATAACATACCAGTACAGTAGAGAAAAATATGAACTGCTACAATTTTATTTCACATTTTATTATTTTAATTTCATTGTTAGATAATTCAGTAAAACAGATCTCTAAAGTACAAAGTGAAATAAATTAAATCCAACTCTGAATAAAAACATTTAACTCTTTAATAAAACAATCAGTACATAAAGCCACATTTTTCATGCACATAGAAAAACATTTGAAAATACAAATATTGATAAGTTTCGGTTATTCTATTTATTGACTCCCATAATTAATCTATCAATAGTTAATGTGAAAATAATCCCATTTATTATGAGTGAAATCTAATCATACAAAATACAGATACTCTGAGCTTTACATAGAGAAAAATAAAGACTTACCATCGCACTATTTTGACAGGATCTTTCTTAGGCATGATTTGATTAAGCCATGGTTCAATAACTGGAAATTGCTCTATCAATTGGTTCTTAATACCCTTTATAACTGAGGTTTTCAATTGGATGCAGTTGGATACATTTTCTTTTTCATCAAATCTGCCAAATGATTTTTGCAAGGAAAAAAGGAATTTCTAAGCAGACATATCAGAATAGCTCAAGGTATTGTTTTAATTAGTCATCTACTCCCAAGCAAGTATTTAGATGCCTAAAATAATTATGAAATAAATTGTTTTTAAAAATACCATGTCCCTTTTATTCTGTCCAGCACAAAACCAACGTCTTAATACAATATTAAAATAAACTTTCAGGTATACACAATTAGCTGGGGGGGGCGGATATGAGGCATATTTCACATTATAATCTGTAATCAGCTACACAAACGCCTTCCCTGGAAAATCTTACTCAATTCTACCCAGGAAGAAACACAGATTCCCACCTATAACAAAACCTGTGTAGAAAAAACAAAACAAAACAAAAAAAACCTTCAAGCATTGAAATACAAAAGATTAACCCAAATAAAACACAGAAAATAGGCACATGTTAGGCTATGTAATATGCTGAGATTTTTAAAAAAGTGATGATGATTTCTAAGATCCCTATTTATTTTTGCTCAAAATGTCATGCACAAAACCCACCTTCCTTTGCCCATGTTCCACCTTTGCTTTTTGCGTGTACCAAATCTGGAAGGCAAACCCACTAGGTAGGTTCCCAAAGAATTTTTGTCTTCCTTACACTGAATAGCCTATGGGGCAATCACGCTATTTTCAAGACAAGGTTAATCTGGCAGCTAGGCAATAGGCATGACAGGCCGCTTGCTTCCTGTCACCCAGACTCCTTCACTCCCATGACCCAGGAAGTCAAGCCTTCCCTTATTCAGTTCATAACTAATAAACACATGGCAGTGAGTGCAGGGCTCTCCTCTCAGCTAAAGAGGATATGCCCCTAAATCACAGTGCAAGGACGTGATTGGTAGAACCCTAGGAATGGAGATAGGTTTGGGAGAGAGACCAGAGAAAGATGGGTAAGGAGAAAGAAAATGAGGGTGGGAGGACCGAAACTCGATTGAGGATTAGGGATGGAAAGCTTAGTGTTGCAAGTTGCGAGTGAGAGCACAGTACTATAGAAAACCTTAGGGAGTAAGGATGGCAGGGGCGGGGGAGAGAGAAAGAGGATCTTTGCTCTCGCCCTCTTCCCCACCCCCACCCCCACCGCCTTTGTGAGCAGCCGACGGAGGCCACAGCATGTCCTTACTTCTTGAACATGATCCAAGGTGAAGGGGGCGATGATAGGGAAGGGCCCGGAATGGGAAAAAAAATTGAATTAGCAAGGGTCAGGCAGATCCCCTTACACGAGGAAGGCCAGCACTGACAGTCCGAGCTGTTGTCGTTTTCCGGAAAGGGAGACAGCCAGCCGCACTTTACGGTTCTCAGTGAAATCTGACTACTTCCGCTTCTCTGAACACGTCGGCGCTTTTGCCGGCCCTTTCTAGGCTACCGATTCCTCTCCAGAGCGGGTAGCTGAAAGGGCGGGACTTGAGAAGGAAGAAGAGATAGAGCAATCTTCTAGTTGCAGGAAGAGAAGAATGGAGGAGGCGGGGAAATTAACCAAGGCAGCATTTATGGCAGTCGCGTCAGTTACGGGTTCCTCAGAGGGTCAAGATTATTCCGTGTTTCGTTGCTGCCTACCGTTAGCCTGAACAATTTTTTAGTGGAAACGGTTTTTGTGCCCTGGGACAACCGAGTAGATTGGTGCTTACGGACCAGCATGAACTCAGGCAAGCCTTATGGCATCATGTTAATGTACTCGTGGGCTTGCCAAATTTAGCAAATAAAAATGCAGGACACCCAGTTAAATTTGAATTTCAGATAAACAATGAATATTTTTTAGTATAACTGTACCTCATGCAATATTTGGGATATACTTATACTAAAAAAATTCCTTGTTATCTGAATTGGGCGAACTGTATTTTAATCTAGCAACCATATTCACTGGCCACAGTGAGGTGCCCCCATAGAATTATTCACTAGGTTGCCGTCCCCTGCCTCACACCCATACCTATAAAGTTGAGCTATAAATCAGGAGAGGTAATCTCCTTGAATGATAGAATAGCCTCTAGGCGAGCAATACTAGAATAATGTGATTGAAGAGATAACAGCTAAAGAAACACGGTTTACTGATGTAGTTTTAAAAAGACGAGCGAATCAAGGGTTTTTTTTTTTTAATTTTCTGGTTTTTTTTTTTTTTTTTTTTTTCCTTTTTTGGTGAGGAACATTCTCCTTAAGCTAACATCCTTTGCCAATCTTCCTCTTTTTTTGCTTGAGGAAGATTAGCCCTGAGCTAACATCTGTGCCAATCTTCTTTTATTTCGTATGTGAGTTGCCGGATGCTGAGGAGTGGTGTAGGTCCACGCCCAGATCCCAACCGCGGACCACTGGCTGCCGAAGCTGAGCACGCTGACCATAGGGCCACCCTGAATCAAGGGTTTTGATCAGGAAAGATAGCATAGAAAAATACAAAACCTAAACAGGCACTACCCAAGCAGTGGGTTGGATGAGCACTGACTTGTAAAACAAACACATCAGTCTCTCCAGGGAGCAAATACTGTAGTCTATACTGGAGAGATGGGAGCTTGGAGCAATCATAACAAACGCTGCTATGCATTTGAACTGTACAACTAACTCACCTTGCCCTGATTCTACAGTAGCAATAATCTTCTGATTATAATTTAGCTTCCCATGAAGATCTGCCCAGAGAGAATTTGCTGTTTTCAAATCAAATCCATGTGAACAATAGTTTGTCTTTGTAAATTAATAAATTGACATTCTGGTTTATACATCAGTCTCTTGTGAACGTCCCTAGGGTGAATCCGCATTCCAAGCAACAATCAACTCTGTGACGTTTAGAATATTGAGTTTATGAACATGCAAAACTGAAGCCCAGACCCCAAGCTATGGTTAGTACTGCACTGTCAGGCTTCTTGCCAAATAGCTTTCCTTTCCTGGCAACTCTCACATGACCCTGGGAGCCTGCCATGTAACAATAAATACATTTTAACAGTAATAAACAGTTATTAAGCAGTTTGAAAGGAGTGAAAATAATTTATATTCAGTCTATACATGATAATACCATAGTAATACCTATATATTCCACTAGTAAAAAGAATTTAACTTGACTCAAAAATTAACACCTAGATGGATTTCCTAATTTCTTGAACTTTTTGTTTGAGAAAACTTCTAATTTTAGATTTATTAAAAAGTATTATGCTGGGGCAAGCCCCATGGCATAGTGGTTAAGTTCGGCACACTCTGCTTTTGTGGCCCAGGTTTGTGGGTTCAGATCCCAGGGGAGGACTTACACTACTTGTCAGCCATGCTGTGGCGGTAACCCACGTACAAAATAAAGGAAGATTGGCACATATGTTAGTTCAGGGCTAATCTTCCTCAAGCAAAAAAAAAAAAAAGAGGAAGATTGACCACAGATGTTAGCGCAGGGTGACTCTTCCTCAGCAAAAAAAAAAAAAAAAGTATCATGCTGAATATTTGCAATACTAGAATTAATAGCTAACTTTTAATTCTATAAAGATTATACATAATCTATCTAAATTATGACAAATCCCACATGCATGGGAATAAATATATAGCTACATGTGCATACATATTTTAATCTACTTTCATACACTCTGATAATCACAGAAACCAAATCTGGATTACCAAGTTAGTTGCCAAGTTAGGTCATTAGTATTAATGAGGTGTTTAGTTCTGTACATGTGCATGAATACCTTCATTCGTAACCCACCTACACAGATACATAAGCAGGGCCCACTTTTCACAACAATGTGTTGCTAGTTTTGTGTTGTAAACGGTATCATCATAAAGTGGATTCTGTTTTTCCAAGGTTACAATTGGGGGTTTGCTCCTGACAAAGGACTCATCTTCAAATAAATCATTGCTACCACAAACAATATGTCATAAAAGAAGAAATACCTCAAAATAAATGTCTTCAAAAATTAAAATAATGAACTTCATTTGTTCATGCAATAAATAGTTATAAATGACCTTTATGTTTTAGACATACATGCTCTCTGTACTATAATTTGTGCATAAATGTTCTGTGCAATTTATTTTACAAGGGTCCTTAATGTATATGCAGCACAAGACACAGAAAACTCAAGTCTATCATATATTTACTAAAATAAGTAACCTAGCTATAATAAGCATTAACATTTAATGATTGTATTTGCCTTCTTAGAATTTTTTTTTTTGAGGAAGATTGGCCGTGAGCTAACATCTGTTGCCAATCTTCCTCCTTTTTTCCTTTTTTTTCTCCCCAAAGCCCCAGTAGACAGCTGTATGTCATAGTTGTACATCCTTCTAGTTGCCCTATGTGGGGCACCGCCTCAGGATGTCTTGATGAGCAGTGCATATGTCCGCGCCCAGGATCTGAACCAGTGAACACCGGGTCACCGAAGCAGAGTGCGTGAACCTAACTGCTTTGCCACCAGCCGGCCCCCCGTCTTAGAATTTTGAAAGGATTTTATAGGGTCTTCTTGACATGAGGCTTTAAAATGCTGCCCATGGAAGTTTGCAGTAAGGCCTCCTTTTCTTCTTCATAAGCTTCTGTAAGCAATAAGCATGGTACCAAAACCCTTCAGAGTGTCCAGCAAAGAAAGATTTCTTTAGGAGCTAGGCCACAGCTTTGAAGACTGGAGAAGCTGCTTTCACTGCAAGAAAGAATTGGGCCACTGCCAGACTCCTGCTGGGCCTCACATCTCTCAGAATCTCACATCCCTCGCATCTCTCAGAAAGCCTGTGAAGTCTTCCACTAGGGTCACTTTTCCCACAAACTGCCTCTCCGCCTCACACCTTAGAGCTCCCTGCAGCCTGGCTTTATATTCCCCACAAAGGCAAAACATACTTAAGATGTACACCACTACCCCCGCTACCAAGCACTCTGCAGAGCACAGGTGAGAAAATGCATTGGCCCTGCCACTGCCTGGATCCTTCCATGCTGAGCAATATAAGGAACACCAACAAACAGCAGCCCCCACCTCCAGTCCCAAATACAGCTAAATTTGGAGAGACCTGAGCACCCCCTATTGATCAGAAGACTGTCAGGACTAACAATCTTGCCAAACCTATGATAAGCCAAGCCCACCATGCATGCCTCACTCACATCCCTGTTTTCCTTTGTCATCGCCCAATATGTAAGCTCCCAGTTCAACTTATATGCTCTGTGACCTTGGGCAAGTCATTTAAACTCTTTGTCTGTCTTCTCATCCATAAAGTAAAAGCTCTACTTTATGAGGTTGTTATGAGGATTAAAAGAGATAACCCAGGGGGCGGCCCAGTGGCACAAGCGGTTAAGTGTGCACGCTCTGCTGCTGCAGCCCCGGGTTCGCCAGTTCGGATCCCGGGCGCGTACCGACGCACTGCTTGTCGAGCCATGCTGGGGCGGCGTCCCATATAAAGTAGAGGAAGATGGGCACGGATGTTAGCTCAAGGCCAGTCTTCCTCAGAAAAAAGAGGAAGGATTGGCATCAGATGTTAGCTCAGGGCTGATCTTCCTCACAAAAAAAAAAGAGAGAGATAATCCATGCAAAGCACTGTTAAATTATTATTGTTGTTATTAAATTACTATTATTGTTTTTGTTGTTATTCCTCTCCTCTAAACTCATCCACATATTCCTCTGTGCTTCTTCTCCCCACACCTGACCTCTTATTTCTACCTTAACTTCCAGGTGCTTCTGCTGTGTCTCCTGGAACACCATTCCACGATTAACAAACACTCCTACCATCCTCCAACTCATCCTTGAATATCCATTGATATGCCTGGCTTTCCCACAAGGATGGAGCTTCCCTTACAGCCCTTTCAAGGGAAAATGGTTTATACTAACACACTGCATGTACTGCAGAGTCAGGAGGTGAGGTGGGCATCCTCTTTCAGCCACGCTACAACTCCCAGACAATTCCTCCTGCACCGTCAGGTAAAAAACCCTGATTCTTCTTCTGAGTTTCATACCATTTGGTTACACCTCAATTCCCTCTTTGCTGTCCTCTACTCATTCATTAAAGATCCTGACATCTGGTTCACAGCCTTTCCTCTCCACCCCAGAGTTGTTAAACACTGCAAGAGAAAATCACACCATTGAATAAATTCGTGCCACTCTGAATTTGTCGTTGCCAACCTCAAGTGGACCTTCAATATTCCTGGGGAATCCTTTTGTGTTTTCAGCTCATGCTCCCCGATGATTCTTTAAAAGCTTCTCCATTCTCCTCAAAACTCCAACTCCTCAACAGTCCCTTCAATCTTACCAAATAACTCACTTCTTAAAGATAAGATAGAAGTCTCCACATGGGAAACCAACTTCCTGCTATCTACTACTACCAAATTAACTAGTAGAAGCCATCCCTCTACTGTTAAAATGAGAGATAGTCCTCTTCCAACCTAGGTCTAATTCCTCCATCTGTGTTCCAGATCCCATTCACATATGGGTCCTCAGCAACTTTACTTAATCTATTATTACCTTTCTCCTATATCTTCAACCTCTCCCTCTCTACCGGCTCCTTCCTTTCAGCTTTTTCAGGGTAAATATGTGAATATG